CGTCGTCGGGCTTCTTCAGGAAACCAGGATGACTATAGTCGAGACAGCTATGGACCGTAGCTCTCGACACATTCAGCGAAGTGGTTTGGCAGGCTGAGCATAAAAGCTCAAGTCCTGAAGCCATACAGTTCTCCAGCTGCCTACAACGAGTGCTTTCAATCGAAGGCACCATGCACAACAAGGAAGGTTGTTTGACTGAACCACAGCCGGAAGTGTGAACCAAAATGCGCACGGCCCCGTGGCGGGAGCACGATTTCGCACGGGACCGCAGTGTGAATCCACCTCATCAACGTCACGAGCGGAATATCTTGGATGTTGCAATGACAGGAAGGGGGCATTGAACAAACATGCAACTTTGGTCGAAGATGTGCACCGCGCCACAGCTGACAGCCGATTCCACTTGACACTTGCCCTGTGCGCCTGAGCCGACAGCAAGCGAGTCACTTTACCCCCAACGTGAGGACACGGTAATCAAAACTCCAAACCCTTAACTACAATCAAGGCCACACACCCCGCACCTGCAACCCTCAAAGACACTCGCTCTTATCCCACCCTGAAATTCCGATAGCCCGAACCCCACACCCTGACCCTAGAAGCCTGAACCCTAAACCCCCCCAAAAACCTAAATGAAAACGCCAAAATCCCCAACCCTAAACCCCAAACCCAAAACGCCTAACCCTCTCTCTCTCTCCCCCAGGCCTTCGAAACATCCAAACCCTACCTCAAGCTACCATATCCTACCTTTTTGTAGGTTCTTATTACAAACCCTAATATGGATTGTATAGGGACCCTACAAAAAAGGTAGGTTTCGGTAGTTCAAGGTAAGCCCTAAAAACCCAACAAGTCCAGCTCCATGGCCCCGAGCCAGGCTTTGAGCTCATTATCCGCCACGATCTCCTCTTGCGGCGGGGTTTTAGGGTTTAGGGTTTAGGGCGGGTTGAGGGGTTCAGGGTGTAGGGGTTTTGGATTTAGGGGTTTAGGGTTTAGTTTTGGGTCTTTTCTATAAGGTATGCGATAAGGTTTTTTGTTAATCTTTAAAGTGGGTTTGAATCAAGGGGGTTTTAGAATTTTAGAGATTGTGTTGTGGTGAGAGCTTCGTCTCGTCTTGGGTTTAGGTTTAACATCGTTGCGGTTTCACGGTCTCAAAAACTCGTAGTTGTCGTTACAAGCACCTGGCGCAAACCCTTTTGCGCAAACCCTGCACCCTAAACCCAAATAAAAGAACTGACTGCGAAGGAACGCATGCGCTTTGGCTCTCCAAGCTCGCTCGCCTCGACCTGAATATAGCAGATTTAGTATCCGGGCACAAGTATATGTGTCTTTCCCCCTTTGTATGAAACATATTATGTTTTATAGTGATAAAGCCAAGAAAGATCGCAATGATAACAGCAACAACAACAACAACAGCAACAACAGCAACAGCAACGGCAACGGGCAGCGGCAACGGCAACTGTACCACCGCCGCCACCACCACCACCACCACCAATAATAATAATGATAATAATAATAATAACATTACTATACTATCTCTGTAACAAGGACCTGAACCGTTTTCGGCTTGTCTTGTTCTCTGTGCATCCTACGTTTTCTCATCTAGGGGCTTTCAGGGCGCCTGGAACTCCTGCAGGTCAATGCGCCCATCTTCTGACGTATCGGCCTTCAGGTCATGGGCTCAATGGGTTTTAGAGTTATAAACCCCTAAACCTGATACTACACCCTAAACCGAACTCTATAAGAACAATAACTGATGACTTGAGGCCTATGGGAGTTTAAGGGTTTGGGGTGATTTCTGGGATTCGCGTTTAACGATAACACGTCTGCTCCACATTGTTGGTGAATAACAAGACAGTACTGTAAGATCCACATAGAACCACCACCTACATAAGGCTGAAATGGGATGCACAAAACAGCTATACTAATCATCCTTCTGACGGCAGAGTCACAAGCTAACATACCAGCACTAGCAGTCTTACGTACAGGAAGGTCGACTTCTCGGCCAGATGGTAGCGACAGTTGCCTCCTCGAAAAGGAGCTGCATCTTTCGAATGTGATTTTGCATGGCTTTCTGCTTCGTCCGCATCATGATTGTGTCCTCAGCTCTGTCGAGAATCACAAAGGCGAGCCAGCAGGGGTCAGCGGCAGGCTGCGTGGAGTTGCGCGGAAAGTACGGCTTAGTGCTTAGGGCTCCGCAGCCGAAGTCGAGCCGAGCGTCGTCGTACGAGGCCACTTTGAAGGTCTCCTGCATTAGCACGCCTGGCAAGGGAGAGCAGACGTGCAGCTCATTCTGCAATCAACAAGCATATCTCCGCGAAGAACCACCCACCTGTGAGCCGGCGACCGGCTACAGACCGTGCTTGCAGGGCTGTGAGGCACTGGAGGGCTGTGATCTGATATGCAATTGAAGGTGTAAAGTCCAGGAGTTGTTCTGTTGTTCTGGCCACCCTTTGCCGCTACTGGCAAGGACGAGCCCGCATGGCAAGAGGAGTTTGGGGTTTAGGATTTAACTTGCTTGTGAGCTGTTTCTCGACGGAGATGCCAACGACAGAAGGGATCCGGCCACTATCTGTGGACACTACCTGGGTTCTGCAGCACGGACACCCGTGACTATCTAAAAGAATACTTACAATGGTGTTGGGTTTAGGGAAGTTTAGGGACTTCAGGTGGTTTTTGCCCATCTTTGTATCAATGCATGCCCTGCCCAATGCTTTCAAGGAGCCGTTGATGACGCCAATCACAGCGAAGCCCATGGTGACTTTGTGGACCAGGAAGAATATCATAAACCACTCGGATACCTAGGGTTTAGGATTTAGGGTATAGGGGATGAGGACGAGGCTCCAAAGAACTCGGGGGTCTTCCTTTACGCTTTGGCTCGGGCTCTTTTCCCATCGGCAACCGCATTTTGAAATGGGGTGGTTCGGGTATTTTAGGTCTGAATGTTCAACATATGGGGGTTTCTGAAAATAGGGGACCCTAATGTACCCTAAAAAGTAGAATCCTTAGTATAAGCACCCTAGAATAAGGTACCCCTAATTTCCGGAAACTCCCATATGGTGTAAGAGTTGAAAATCCGACGACTTCTGACCAAAAGCCCCAGGCCCTAGACCCGCAACACGAAAAAGCAAAAAATGACCCAACAATGACACAATCCCCCCGAATGGAAGGATCAACGCCACAGTCGGGAAGGCTTGCAAGTTGGGGGCCTCTTGCATCAACGGCATATGAAAAAAGCTCCTTCTGATGGAAGCCAAGGCATGAATGATGAGACTTAGATAGGTTTAAGGGTCGTGTAGTAATCTTGTTGAACTAGGTTCCAGTGTGGATTTTTTTGCACGGATGTTATTGTAGGGCTGATGTAACAAGGTTTGGGGGCTTGTCCCTTTCAATCCTGCCTTTCACGCGATGGAGTGGCCTTAGTGCCATAAGCCTGCATGGAAGCTGCTTTGACGGCTCAGCCCTTGCCGTGCTTCACGGCGTCAGAACCGCCTCGCGCTCCAAAGAATAAAAAGCGAGTCTCATTACCCAAATCCTCAAATCGAACAAGCAGCCGTAGAAGGTTTTCATACAATCTCTGCAGAAGTCCTCTAAACCCTAAACCCTGAACCGTCTACAGACCCCAACCTTAGCCCCATGGCTTCCAGAGGCTCATGACCAGTGCCAGGGAACATTCTCGGTCAGAACGCGGCAGACTGGAGGCCAGTTGGCCTGAATGTACAGTAGTACAGTCTGGTATTATAGTGTTATAGCATAGTATGAAACGCTTGAATAGTTTAGCACCGTTTAGCTTAGTACAATATCATGTAGTAGAAGATCGAGAATAATATGATATGGCATCGCAAAAATGTATTATAATCGAGGAGAGTGTCTTCGAAAGCTTTTTGGTTTGTACTCACTCTCGGTTGTCTTTGCGGGCTTAAGGGTTCAGGGTTTCAGAAAGTTGGAATGCCAGGGCTTTTGACTCTGGCCCTTGGCGTCAATGTATCCATATGGTATATACTGTGGCCGTAAAGTACCTATACACTTAAGGCCTATCGGTATATACTATATGGGCACATGGACCCTTAGGGTAGTATCTCGGGACCTATAAACCATCTAGGGTCGGCCGTTTGCGGCTTTGGGGCTCGAAGGTGTTTGGGGCTGCAGACCTTCACCCTGCGAGCCTGAAGCGCAAGCCTTTCCAGCCTTCAGAACAGATTTTCTTACATAACATTATATTATATGACCTTCCAATAGTTACATTCTAACGTGCTAAAACCTTATGGCATTTTAACTTGTTATATAATGTTGTATGATGTTTCACTCATGTCATAGTATATCATACCATAGTATACCATATCATATCATATGTTAGTATCGTACGAAAATATAGTGTATGACGCTCTGCTATATTTTTTCATGCTATGATGAATACATTCTGTTAGATTAAAATAAGTGACAAAATTTTGTGTTATTGTAAAATAGCACATAACAAAATATAACAACATGTAACATGTACAATAAAGTATAATAACAAGTAAGTGATATTACATTACGTTATCATGTCAAGGGTCTGGGGATTTACGGTATCGCGCCTATCCTTGGAACAAGATTTGCAGGAGAGGATCCTGCTGTTTAGAACAGCCCGGCAGCCGGTTGCTCGAAACTACCCCATACCCTGAAGAACATCACCTGAGATGGGAGTGGCTCATTCGACAAGCCTACATAAAATTATGGCATACACCCCGTTCCACACCTGTCACATCCATATTTACAAAATTGTGACGTCAGGTCAGGCTGCTTGGGCTTACCACAACTCGCGTTCAAAAGGTCCTGCAGTTCAGGGAACTGTATCTTAAGGTAGTTCGTCATTTCGCCCATCAGTACTATATTGGTAGCACGACTCCTGTTAAAGTGTGAGCCTCGGCAATGTCGTGAACACTATAAGAACCATCCACACCGTCACACGTTCGCATCAATGATGCCAACAGCAGAAGTGCCTTTTGCATCGGGGCGTGTCTTAACAATCGATGTTCACGAGAATGGTGGCGTAAAGGCGTAAAGGTGGTAGCAAAATGAGAATACCCCGTCTTGTCTACGTACCGACCGACCGAACGACCGGCCGGATACCGACAAATATCGACCCTACCTGCCTAAGAACCTACCTACTTGCCCGCCTACCTGCTAATATGCATGCATTCATGCATACATACATGCCTATCAGGCCGTGGGCGGCCCGAAGCAAGTCTCAGGACAAGCAGCGAGAGTGATCTCGAACATCGTCAGCAACGAGCGCGAGAAGGTTCCGAAGTAGGTGTAGACCTCGACAAGAGAGGGTGTCTCGCGGGCATGGGCCACGGTGGAAGTGGAGATATTGCTTGGGTAGGAAGAATGGTGTTTCCGCATTCGATGCAGCCATGACAGGATGAAAGGACATGCTAGGTCGCACAGACCACGCTTCCTCCCTTCTTCCAGGATGGAGGTTTCGGGTCTCCAGTTGCGCAGACGGGAGGTTTCTCGAATTGCAGGTATCCGTTGTAAGCTTCTGTTGATTCAGGGTTTAGGGTGTAGAGCACTTTGGGGTTTGGGATGTTGGGACTTGCGGCATGCGCATCTGTGAAAACAAGTGTTTTTTTTTTCTGTTTGGTCGTCCCACCAAGTAGGCTTGGCAATCAGTGTAGGGGCCAGGCTGGGCGGCCAACCTCAGTTAATTACCGTGACCAGGCTTTGTCCGAGAAGCAATCTCTTGTTGATCCTTCACGAACTCATCCTGAGCTGCTGGGGTTTCTGCACTGGTGTTCCTGTTAGCCTGCTCCACAGGGATGCAGACTTATCCGTGGAAGGGAGTTGTCAAATCTCATTCAGACAGGTGCTGCTCCTCCCGTGCGAGTACTGTCAGGGTACCTGTTGCCTCATTGTTGTATCGATGGTTCCAGTTGTGTAAGAGGCAAGCATCAGTGGAGACGCTGTCGGAGAAGTAAAAGCCATAAAGGAGCTGGTTGAAGACCTCAGCATCACAGGGCTTCTCGGATGATTCAGGTCAGAACACGCGATGGCCTTCGCGCTGACCCAAAGACCCGCGATCCCACTATCGCTGCTGCCATAATCACCACCACCACAACCGCCACCACTACCGGCAACAACGCCAATATCAGCAGCGACAGAGGCAACAGCAGCAGCAACAGCATCCACAGCAACAGGAAACACAGACAACCAACAACAACAGCAACAACAACAACAACAACAATTACAATTTGCAATTGGACGCGGTGCGAGCGGACTCAGCACATAGCGGGCAGTTACCGCTCTGGCACTCTCTAGTCTCTAAAGTGAAACCTGAGTATGTTCATGACAGCTTGATCTGCACTTGCTAGCTAGTGGAACAACCACAACAACAACAGCAACAACAACAATCAAGCGACAAGCACAATTGTTTCTCAACAGACTGGTTAGCGGCTAGCCATCATGATGATGAGAGGTCATAACACTTCTCATGAAGATCCGTCACGCCAGTTTCTACAGCCACCCTTACGCTGAGTGCTCTCCGTATCGCCAGTACTGCTACCACTGGAACCGGCACGGTGATTGTTCCTGTCCATGCCGAAGGAACAGCGAACCACCATCAACATCGCAATAATCAGTCATAATCTTCCCAAACAAGATGCTCCCTGCTTGATGATGCTCGTGATGATGAGGGTAAACAACTGAAAACCTGAAGAGTCATATGCAGGCACATCAAACAAGACAAAGGGGAGTCTTCAGCATTGTCACCACCATCGACACCAACTTCACCGTGGACGCTAGACCTCCTCAGTACCATAAACGGCATCATGTCACCTTGATCCTGAGCTTATTCTTTCCATCCTTAGCATTCTTTTGCTGTGAATGCTGCTGGTCGCGAGCTTCTGGGCTCCGGGCCAAAGCAAACAGCATCTGGATCAGAAAGAGCCTCGCTGCGCCAAGGATCACCGCGAGAAGACCATAAGCCCCAAACCCGCCAACCCAGAAGCCGCTGGTCTCCATGGATAATTAGCTAGCGGAACACGGAATAGCCCACACAAGGGCGAAAACTCGTGCTACTGACTAATATGCCTTTTTTTGCCTGAAACGTCACGCCCAAACCGTCAAACATCTATGCTAAACTGCTAAACCCCAACACCAAACCCAGAGCTCGTCCAAATATCATTACATCTATCATGCATACATATATATATACATACATACACACACACATATATATATATACATACATACAATATGTATACACCGCCCCACACACACACACACTAAGATTTCTCTGCAAAGCCCGAGAGGCAGCGCCGCGGTCCAACCGAGGATTCCGGAGCTGCTGCGGATGGCTGTGGACATGAGGTACAGCGAGTCGAACCTCGAATTAGGGTTTGCGGTTTAGGAACCTCTGAATGATTCCTAATCAGAGTCTAGGGTTTATAAGGGGTAGAAAGAATTGATGGCTTTTCTAGTTTCATCCCTCTTGCCCATAAACCGCTGGTTGCTTCGAAGGCACTGCTGTATCCGACGCACCAGCCGCAACAATCGGAAAAGCCGAATCAATCTTGCGAGGCGCAACACCTGGCAGGCTGGGAGGTGTGTCACTGTGTTTACTACTCTAGGGTGCAAGGGTCTAAGGGGTTTAGGGTCCAGGGTATTATGGTTTGGGGATTTACGTTTTGATCGGTTTTTGAGTGCTTAGGAATTTGTAAAGCTCAAGGGTTCCAGATTTCAAGTGTTAGGGCTTATTGCGTTCATGGTTTTAGTAGTACTGGGTTCAATATCTAAGGGTTTCGGACATTCAAGTTCCCTTTGACAGGATTAAGATGCTTGAAAGCTGCAGCGAGACCAGCATGTCACTGCAAGCAAAAAGTTTATGTCATTTCTCCACGAACATTACTGTTCCAGCGCAAGCCCCAAAATGTGCAGGAGCACATCTCAGGATCAAGCCCAACATACTCAAGAACTATTCCCGAGCACCCCTCAGGCTCTCTCACATGACACAAAACACGACTCGCATCCAACATATGCACCACACTGTGGTGGGATCACGACGGCCAACCTTGGGAGATTACAAACCTATTCTAGCAGGGCGGGACGGCGAGACATCGCGAAGGAGATATCAAGAGCTTCATAGTGTAGCCATCTTAGGATTTCGCGACTTCGAGGACTTGAGGGTGCGACAGCCGAAATGAGCACAGGACTGTGGCGTGGACACGAGTTCCACTCAACGGGCCCCTATGTACGCTAGAGGCACAACTCGAGGAAACACATCCAAATCCTTATCGAACCCTTTAAACCCCAGCTGTATACATATCGGCCTGCGAGTTCACCGGCAGCCTTTCTTCGAAGGCTTGGCCAAGGATCCTGGGTTTAGGGTTTCGGATGTATAGACTACTTTACAGAGCTTGTAGGGTGTAGCAGCATTTAGGGCCACTTGCCCAAGTGGTGGGGTGGGATTTGGGCAAGCACCACCTGGACGATTCATGACGCATGATGTGTAAGCTTGGACCCTGGCATGTCTCTGACTTCCGCAACAACAAAGTCCAAAACCCTGAAGATCTTGAGCTGGTCAAGTAGACATGTCTTGACCCTGCAGCTGTTCAATTCCGAGAAGTTCCACGGTGATGTAAGGCGGGCACCAGACGAGCACGATGACCTGAAGGGTTTGATTGTCGCAAAAGGTTTTTGGTCCTTCCCAACTCGGCAGACAGGTCTTCAGGGTTGCGACAGTCTGGGATTTGGGTTTCAGAAACACGGGGGCTGAGGCATGGGATAAATATAAACAGGCGTTGGTCATGTTGAGACGGCCTCTCTAGGCCGGCATTCATCTGAGTCCGTAAAGGCTCAAGGGCATGAGGGTTTTGGGTCTGGCTACGGCTTGTAGGTAGGGTTTCAGCACTCACATCTAGGACAAGCCAGGCGAGGTAGGGTTTAGGGTTTAGGGTTTAGGAGAGGGTATGTTGAGCATGCGGCGATGCTGGTCGTCCAGTGTCATTTTCAAGCTTCTGGGGCTGCTATGAACCTCAGGGTTTAGTGCTTGGCGGCCACTGCGCTTTGCTCGCCAGGTGGTCCAGAACTCATAACCATAGTATATGATACATAATGTATAATACACAACGTATAACACGTAATATAATAGGTTATATACTTTTTTACCATGTACGATATAGCATCTACGATATACCACATACTATATACCATAAAATAGGACATAACCGAACCTACTTAGGGAATCTTTCCAGGAAATAAACACAGACCAGTTGCCAAGTCGAGCCAGTTCCAGGCTCCGCAGAAGAAGAGGTGCTGTCCTTATGGGGTTGGGGGCAAAGGGCTTCGAAAAGAAACAAGTAGCCACACGATCGGGGTATATAATATGTGGCCTTACCGATTGGAATGTGGCTGCCGGACACCTTATGGTGTAATATGGCGTGATTACATAGAGACTATCAAGGGATGGTAGTACCCATTCTTCAATCCCCGATATTAATGCCTAAACCCTAAACCCTAATCCCTAAGCCGAAGCCCTAAAACCCTAAACCCTAAACCCCAAACCCTACACCCTAAACCCTAAACCCGCTGCATGTACAGGTCCCTGCTGATGCATCTTCTTCACACGCAGATGCTGTCGCCAGCCGTCTGAGGGCGCTCTTGGACGAGGGTTCGACGGCTATGGCGACTTAGGGTTCCTGAAGTTCTTTTGCACTCCGATGGGCCCACCGAAGACACGGCTTAGGGCTTAGGGTTTAAAAGCTTTAGGGTTTAGGGCTTAGGGCTTAAAAGCTTTAGGGTTTAGCCCAAACTGAAACTCCTACCCCCGCGGAGGAGGTGCTCAATGCCGTCTGCAACACGCGGGACACATCCAGCACAGTCTAAAGGAAGCGCGCACCTGAACTATGCTATGAGACTGTTAGATGATTGAGATGCTAAAACCTCATAAATCATTGTTGTAATACTGTGCACTATACTAACATTCCTATTGTCGTCAGTGCTCGTGTTGCTATCCCTAAACCCTAAACCGGGTTTAGGGTTTAGGATTATTTAATCGCCAACTTTGCCTCCACGCTTCGGACCATGAGCCTTAGGACGACTTCCACTGTGAAGACACACCCGAAGATCATCTCCAGGACATAGAAGATACTATCCTTGGATTAGGTTTTAGGGTTCCGGGCGTACGCTTTAAGGGTTTAGGGTTATAAGTTATAAGGGTTTAGGGAGATTAGGGCCAGGTTCAGAAGTTTGGCGTTGGAGCTTCTCAGGTGAAGGTTCAATCTGCATGATTGCGGGTTCTAGAAGGAGGCCGGGTTCGATTCCACGTTTGACCCTCTTGGAGATTCGCTACTTTCAGACATCTTTTGCCATCCATCACTAAAGCCTAAACCCTATAAGCCCTACACTATGCCTCCTTTGCCCGCCTGCCTCGAACCCATTCGAGAAATGAGGCTTGACAGCTGCTACTTATCATGGTATGGTAGGCCGTAGATAAAAACCTCCAGAGAACACATTCTCCGTGGCGTGCCTGGTTCCTCATGCAATCTTGGAAATCGCATGGCTGCTCAGTCTGATCAAGCATCCGCACCGGTACCCCTTCCGAACCCGACCACTGAACGTTTTCTTGGAAAGCCTGACGCTTCCCCGTGATTAAGGCATGTAGTTCGACGAACGAGGCGTCTGGCACCGGGACCCCGGAACACCTTCAACCCATAAAGAAGGAAGAACAAACATCCTGGCTTCGCAGAAGCCAGGTAGCACAAAACCCCTTAACTAGGGAAAATACCTTGAATCATGACATCAAGCCCGTCACTCACAAGACAAGATACATTCGTGAATTTAGGGACAGGGGGTTTCTGGGAAGGAATCCAGGTAGCTCCGTTTGACCAGAAGAGGTCTGGCAAATCTCCTCCAAAACCAATATGGCCGTAGGCCATGCCCTTGTTTTGGGCCTCAAGAGCAAACCTTCGTCAGAGGGCTTACGGCTTGTAGGGATGATTTCGGCCGGAAGGGCTCTTTAATAAATAAAAAGAGTTTGGTTTGAGTGGAGCGCGGGTTCTCATCCTCCGACGTCCTCTCTCTCACACGGACTCAGTATCCTCCGATGTCTTTAAAACCCTCAAGAATCAAGATGACTCCGAATCCCTCTTGCAGCGGGCTTGCCTCACCACACCGGAGCTCCCTCTGCCCAGAACGCATGCCCAAGCAGGGGCGAGCCCTCGAAACCCCTGGAATTGATGCCAGTCGCTTCAAGAACTCGTGCCACACATCAGGAGCTACATCACAGAAGTCATCGCTGGATGCATGATATACTGTTGGGTTTAAGCCTTAGGGATCAGTCTACTTCATTCACGGTTTTATAGTAACTAGGAGTAGTATGGGGTCACACTTTCCGAAACTCCTAATCTGACCCAGAACAACGGAAAAAAAGCAGGCAAACAATATGGCAAGGTGCATGCCTTCTCTATGTTCCAAGCTTACGGCCCCTGACTGCACTGTTTCGGGTTTCGTGCTTAGGATGGTTCGGGCTGGGTGGTGTAATGTATGTAGGCCATCGGGATTTGAAGGCTCTTGTGGGTTTCATGAGGTTAAGAACACGGCACATGATGACATGCTCAATCAACTGTTCATGAGACTACGTTACATGCAGACCCACGAGAAACCATATCGAAACCTTATGGGTGGTTCTCTAAACTAGGTCCCATCTTAGGTCCCCAGTACAGTACGGCACCCGTATCAGGACCCGAACAGGGACCCTAATATGGAGAACTACTCATACCCAACGAAATTAGCTAGCGGCTCGCTTGTGCGTCGGGCCCCGAACCCCGAACAAGCACTTGTGACCCCCAGTGTACAAGGCAAGTCTTTTTCAGGGAGACTTTACACGAACCCTCCATTTAGGTAGCTTTTCTAACTTAAGGTCCCTTATAGCGTCCTTTTTTATAAGTGTGCCGTAGTTGCCATAAGCCAAACAGATCAACATGAACTACAAACTTACCTAGAACAGCCAGGTGGCACAACGGCATTGAGGAAGATGACCAAACAAAGCAGAGCCTGCATAGAAACGGGCGGAACCCTAAACTCCCTAAACCCTTTTTAACCCATAAACCCTAAAGCTTTATATAAACCCTAAACCCCTAAACTCTAAGCCCGTAAACCCTCAACCCTTGACTCTTGTAAACGACCGGCGCAGTGGGGTCAGTCGGGTGTGAGATTCCCTGCTTCGTGGTATCATTCTCAAGGATCCTACTCCTTGAGGCGCTGTGAAGCTGTCTCAGGGCTTAAGGTAGTAGAGGTTAGTTAGTTATTGATACACTTCAGGGTTTAGGGCTTTCGCTTTTTAGGGCTTTCGTTTCTACTTACGGCAGCAAATTTTAAAGGATGCTGAGCGCAAACGTGTTCTCATGACGATTATTCGCGATGCACGCATGACCAAAGCTGGTAAGTCCCTCACAGTGTAGGTAGACATGACAGACAAGACTGCGCCGTAGATCTCTGGTTGAAGCCCCAGGCCGTAAACCCTACCCTCTGAACCCTTAGCAGTGGACGGTACTTAAAATCATTCCTGAAAAGCAACCTTGTCTATAGAAGCCCTAAACCCTAAACGACAAGTTCCTTAACCCCTGGCTTAAAGAGTATCGTTCAATGGCTGTAGCAGTTCACGCGGCCATTTTTAACGTCTCGGCATTGAAAATTCAATTGAATCCGGCTATACCTCCACGCATATGGGCAGCTTTCTTAAACAGGATCCCTTGTTGAATCTCCCCAGAAGAACGTCAAGCTTGTAATCATCATTACCAAAAGGGCCCTAAAAGGGATTCTGAGCTTTGAGAACCCCCCCCCCCCCAGTAGGAAGCTGAGTGGTTTAAACCCTGAACCCCTAAAGGAACCCATGTAGGTCTTAGACTGCTTTTATGGACCGGAGCAGCCTCGAATGTGGGGTTGTTCAGCAAGGCCTCGCACCTCGGCCCGTAGACGCAGGGCTTTGCGTTTAGGGGTTTCGCATTTTCCCTCTTCGGGGCGGGTGCAAGGTTTAGGAGCTTTGGGCTTACAGGGCCTTCAGCTAACCTTCCCTCTGGCTATGGACGGACTACAAGGGGACGTTATGACCAATCAGTTGCCTAGAGTCGCAATGCACAGGGCCGTGGGTGGTAATCTGAGACCCTCAACCAACCTCTCATTCTCCGGAGCTCCAAGCACAACTACACAACCCAGAACCTGAAGCAACAACAGGAAGGTCTGCTTACAACTAAACATATTACATAATAATTTATACGCACATCCAAGTCTATACGTATGCATGTATGTATGTATGTATGTATGTATGTACGTATATATGTATGCACGTATGTATGTATGTATGTCTGTATGTATGTATGTATGTATGTATGTGTATGTATGTAAGAATGTAATAAGTAAGTAAGTAAATAAGTAAGTAAGTAAGTAAGTAAGTCCGTCAGTCAGTAAGTCAATAAGTCAGTCAGTCAGTACGTAAGTAAGTAAGTAAGTATGTATGCAAGTAAGTAAGTATGTATGCAAGTATGTAAGCATGTATGCATGTATGCATGCATGCATGTATACATGTATGTGTGTACGTATGCATGTATGCATGTATGCATGTATGTATGTATGTATGTATGTAAATATTTAGGTCTCTATGCATGTATGCATGTATGTATGCATGTATGCATGTATGCATGTATGTAAGTATGATGTATGTATGTATGTATGTATGTATGTATGTATGTACGTATGTATGTATGTATGTATGTATGTATGTATGTATGTAGGCTTGTTGTTTTCGTTTGTTCGCACATAGGTGCGTACATGTGCATCTGCGCATGTGCGTACTATCGTGAACCTCTGATGAACAGGCCCGCCTTCGAACAGGATCAGGAATCCCTAAACCCTAAACCCCTAAACCCCTATACCCTAAAGCCCTAAACCGTTCCGTGAACTCCGAGCCAGGCCCTCTTAACCGAGGCCCGGCTGCTGTCTCAACGTTGTGGATGTCGTCTGGTTGTAGCTGGGTGCGCTGATGTTCCTCGAGTTGAAGACGAACCTTGTCAGCTTGGATCGTAGATGCGCTTATTTTCCAGGGTTCAGGATCCGCGTCTAGGCTCTGCGGGTTTGGTGTTCTGAGCTAAGAGTCTGAGGTTGAAGGGCTCGCTGAACGATTTGGGACATGTTGGGGCCACTGTGTTTTGAGGGCTGGCTGATGTTTCAACTAGCGATGGGCTGAGAAGCACTGTGCTATCTCACTTCTTCGCTCAAGATGCTTGGCAGATGTTAGTATAGGCTTCAAGTTCGATCCGAAGCAGCGCTTTGCACCCGCTCAAGACCGTATGAAATCCCGGCATACCGTATCAAGCTCGCTGGAAAGAAACCCAGATGCTCTAGTGACTTGACCCTGGAGATCCAAACTGTGCAAACCTTTTTGGCAAACTTTACAACCCTTTTGTTTTGAAACCTGTGCTGGGGCCACGGGAGAGAGCGCTCACCGAACTTTTACAACCCTAGAGCCTTCAACCCTGTAGCCCTTGCCGCTGAGGTCGCATCATCTGAGGAATATGTGTTGCTGAATCCTAACTCGGCCCAATGACCTTGCCCAGAGTTCTAGCTGAATTGCGAGCCCCCGCAGCCCATATCCGAAACTGCCACAAAAGAGCTTCGACTTCCTGGATGTGTGCATGCTGGAGACGTGATCTACCTGAGTGGCTTGGATTGACACTGTTCCGTGCTGGCAACCTCTGACTTACCGCATATTCTCTAGATAGAACACAACAGCGACAGATTCCATAGTCCAGGGCTCATGCTTTCATAAAACATGCTTCAAGGTTTGGGGAATAGTTTCGCATATTTGTCCAGGTACTAGAACCGGAAGCTAGCAATAAGTATTTGTTCCAACCGCTTAGTTCATACTCAGGTCCTTGCTGATTATGCCGGTGTTGACGAATGCATCATGATGCAAACGATCTGAAGACAATGATGAACATACGCGTGAGATGCTGCTGACGTTGCTGGTCTCGGTTGCAATGCAGGAACACGGTGATGCTGACGGCCCTTACTCAAATGCTCGCACCATGATCACCATGCAGCCGCAGCCACGCTACTACCCTTCTTTGCGTTATGTTTTTCACTAAGACAACCAACCCTTCACGCGACATCAAACCTGAATAATTGGACCAGCAAAGAGCAGACCGTTCGAGCTGCAAGCTTTGGGAGTTGACAAGGCCTCGTGAGAGCGAACGGCCACACTTGCACACATCCTCAAGTGCTGAAAGACAACCCCCGCATTAATCTGGAGCCGGCTTACTCAACACGCGTCTCCCACACAAAAAAACCTACCCCTAAACCTAAACTTGTTGTTTCGTCAGACCTTCTCCATAAGCTTGCCTGCACCCTAAAACCTTTTGCATCCAGCCTGCAGGCTCACCCTTGCACTTCAACCTCCCCTAAAGACGCTAAACCCCTAAATCTCTAAACCCTAAAACCCTCTAATCCTGACCCTGAACCCTGAAGACCTTGAACTCTGGACGTTCAGCCCAGATGCGGAGTCCGAGTTCAAGGACACTGGGACAGAGCCCATTTGCGAGAATCTCGCCTCCTGTTGGGTTTAGGGCTCTAGCAGGGTTTAGGGTATCGGTCGTCATCTATTCCTGCATATACCATACCCTCATCCAAGACCCAAATTTGATTTTTGCACACAGTGGTGTGCCGGAGCACTGGTGCCGTGCGCCGTGCCCGGTTGCTCGTTGACACCAAAAGCTGCAATCTGAACAACTAGCCAGAACCCCAAACCGTGCCTGTGCTCTGCCTGAGAACGCTTCGTGTTCCTGCATTTCCTGTACTTCTCTGGCTTCAGAGATTGCAGCGCGCACCAATTCCGGAGGCGCGGATGACGCGGTCCAAACCCAGCATAAACTGAACCATATACTTGAAGTTGCAAAGGCTGTTACCCTTATAGCCCCAGAAGCCGATCAATTCGCGAAAATGTAGAAACCACCACTGACGCCTGTCCTCCTCGGAACGGCCGAAAGACTCACTGACTCTCGATCCATCTATCGAATCCTGGCCAACATGCGTTTGCGAACTTTAGGGTTTCGGTGCTCTAAAATGGCCTTCAGCACGGCGGCTATTGGAGTTTACGGGCTTCTGTACGCAGACCGAGCCTGAGAAAAGGACCCTTAACCAGTAGTGCATGCAGGACTGTCCAAGTCTCATGGCATGGAGACTCTCGTTACTGGGCACTCCAGGTGGAACCACACTCACTCAAGGCAAGATGAAGATGGGTTTACGGCGTGGGGGTAGACGTGGGTGGAGACGAACCTCCTGCTTAAGGCATCAATGGAGATGCCACAGACAGACCCCCAAAGCATCCATTGTAGGGCTACAGCTTTGTTCAATCAGGGTGCAATCTCGTACATGTCCAAGGAAGCATTCGGTGTAGTAGAGCGCAGTGGGCTAGGCGATGTGGAGCCAAGGGGGCTCGGCGCTGGCAGATGACGCATGGGGCTGCGCAGCAGATCCACATCCTGCACAAAACATGCCCACGAGGCTCGGGCAGGCTCGCGATAGCATAATACATAGTGTAAAATGTGAGAAGTTATCATAGGCTTTACGGTTTCATCATACATGCAGGCATACAGACATACCGGCAGACAGGCAGATGTATGCATGTCTGCATGTATGGATGCACGTGTGTATGCATGCATGCATGTAATCACGTATGTATTCATGCATTTATGCATGTATGTATGCACGTATGCATGTATATATATATATACACATACACACAATAACAATCTCTCGCTCTCTCTCGCGCGAAGCTCGGCATCACACCTGAAGGCTGACGCCAAAGAATTTCAGTCAGCTCCGAAACCCTGACTTCCCAGAAACTGAGACCTTGCGTTACCTAGAAACCCCAGTTTCTTAATTTTGTTTACCTGGTTTCTTTGTTCTGCGGCCGTAACCAGAAGACGGTTTAACCAAAAAAAGAGAACGACTCGAGAACCTAGGTAAAGTGCCGTTAGTGAGAGTGATCTCGTCTTGATCGTTTGGTTGAGGGTTTAGGGTTTAGAGGCTCAGGGTTTAAGGGTTTAGGGCTTGCTAGTCACGGAGGGTTTCGGTTTCACGGTTTTCCGCAATCAGAACTTGTCAGCACCAGGCGGGGTCTCAGGTGCGCAGTTCAATCAGGGCCGATCAAGGCGGGTTAAGGTTTAGGGAAGGCTTCACGGCCTGGAGTTTAGGGCTTGAGCACTGTATTTCCAGAATTGTTCGAGAACGTGCGATACTCCTTGCACTAAACTCCTAAAGTATAAAGAACCCACATCCAAAACAGCCCGCAGTACCGAGTCAAGGATCCAGGGGTTTCGGGTGACAAATGTCCTGGGAGAGTTGTGCACTGACATCCACGACGTCATGTTCCTCGGAGACCTGAACGAAAGTTCTTTCCCTGCGCTTGTCTTCGTGGGGAGCCCCGGCAAAGGCTCACAGTGGCTCACACTATACTGTTCAGGCTTCTCTCTGACTCCTTTTGGGGCTGCTGCTTCGGGGAGCTGTGGCGGAACTTTGCAGAATTCGACGCGTTGGCCGGTAAGGACAGGGGATCCAGAGCTACATGGGAAAGCTTCCCATCCCAAACCGGAGTTTTGACAGCATGAGATGTGTTTGACTGCAATGGCTCGAACCAGAAACCCTATAAGTTTTAAATCCTAAAGTCCTAAGAATCCTCAACACTGGAACCTTCAACCGCAAACACCAAACCCTCACAGCCTAATATATAGGGGCCTAAATAATATAATTATAATGGGCCCCAAACCCTATTCTATTTGTTATAGCCCCTACATTACACGGCACAATCCAGCCTCCTCCAAAGGGTAACCCCGGCGAACACAGTTGCGAAGCTGACGCCGGAGCCGTTCGACCTGCAGGGATCACACGGCCGCATCATGAATAAGGATACTGCAGGGCTTTTCATCAAAGAATGAAAGATTTTACGGGGTTTTGTAAGGGTGCCTGAAATATTTGGGGGGTTAGGGTTCAGGCTTTACAACAGGGGCCTCAATTGCCGGGAGGGTCTACAAGGGGGCCATTGGCGCTAATTTTGTTCAGCCCCCTATATGCGCAAGAAGAGCATTGCAGAGTGGTCTGGTCTGCACCAGGCAGTGCAAAAAAAGCTTCGTCCCAATACCCTAAAGCCTTGAAAAAGAAGATAACTGCCAAATTATACCCTTGTCATGCCGTTTATCGTCACCCTAAGACTACAACTCCCCAAAGAGGGACCTACCCCAAACCCTAAACCCTAACCCCTAAACCCTAACGGTCACTCTAGTGCTGCCGGACAAGACCAGCCTTCCGATTTAGGGTGGCGACTTGCTGAAGATGGACCGCGTTGAGTCTTTCCATCAGCCTAAGGAGGATCCACATCAAGGCTTCATTGAAGGTTCCTGTAAACGTTCCATGAGGGTTCCTTTCAAGGTTCTATAAAGGTTCCTAGAAGGGTTTTTATGAGGGTTCTACAAGGATTTTTTTATTATGAGGGTTCCTATGAGAGTTCCTATAAGGGGTCTAGAAGGGTTGTGTGAGGATTCCTGTACGGGTTCAATGCGGGTTCCTGTAAGGTCCATCCTATATAAGGGCGCTACAAGTAGTTCTATAAGATGTAATAAGGGTTTATGTAGGGCTTTAGGGCTTGAGGTTTAGGCTTTGGTTTCGACTCACACACTCGCTCACGCAGGCATGGCAGGTTCCGTTTAGGGTTCTGGGTTCAGGGTTTCGGGCTAACTGCTTTGGGGTGTTTAGTAGCTGGTGCAGGGTTCGTTGGTTGGATTTAGCTTGAGGCACTGTCGCTCGTCTTCTCGTGGTTTTGGAGCTCAGGTCTAGGTTCTTTACCGCCTCGGCTAGGAGCGCTGGCTACAATGCAGGGCTACGGTCACGACAGCTCAAACTCTAAACCGTAAACCTCCAAACCAAACACGGACTGGTTGTCACCGCTCGAAAGCGACTGCAGCATCCGCAAGACGCAGGAGACGAAGCGAAGCGAGGCTTCGGTTGTTCAGGGTCTGGGCTCTGAGGGATGTACAACAAGCATCGACTAGTGTCTTTAGGATTTAGTTCTGGGGGTTCAGAGGAAAGGGGAAAGCAACAGGAGTTTGAGTTTTCGGGTCTCGGGGATTCAGGCCGTCTCGTTGACAAGCAGAGACGGTGAAGGTGAGGAATGTCACATCACAAATGATCTCAACCAGTCCATGGAGTGGCAATATGGGGGCCCTTAGTAGTGAGGATGGGGTTGGATACTATGCTGTAGTTGTAACCAAGGTCTTGGCAAGGATTCCGACCCCTATTTCAGCTTGGGATCTTCATGAGGTGCCAAAGCCTACGACAAAAAACGCCCAAACCCTAAACCCTAAACCCTCACACCCCAAACCCTAAAACCTTACACCTAAACCCTAAAATCCCAAACCCTACACCGACTGATATGAGCAAGCTAAGGCGGTTCTGGATGGTTTCCCTTACGACCGGAAGCATCCACAAAACTGAATAGTTTGGGGCTTACGGTTTAGGGCTTGGGGTGAATAGTTTGGGGTTTAGGGCTTGGGGTGAACAGTTTGGGGTTTAGGGTTTAGGAGCAGTTCAAAAAGTACTCCCACCCGCTTCAAGGCATTGCCTCGTCATGCAGATTCCGAGGCTGGGCTATGTCGCCCGCCTTTAACTCTTCTCGGCTTCCCCCTTTCCGAACCTGTTCTTTCTGTATATTCTGCGGATTGCTCAGGGTGGGCGGTACACAGACTGCATGGCTTCGGGCTTCAGTTCTAAGGCTTAGCTGCTACATCCATCCACCTTCCTTCCAGCAACCTAAACCCAGCACCTAAACACTTAAGCCCCCAAAAAAAGCAAACCGATGCAAGCAGCCGGTCAAAGGAATCCTCCGTAGGCTGAAGTAGCCCAAGCCCGCCGGCCGGCAGTGTGGGCACAAACTCCATGGCCACGGCGCCGGGGACAGGTTAGAGTTTTAGCCCAGTTCTACACGTGTGGGACAGGAGCGAACTTCCACCTTAGGGCCCTCCTCTTGTAGATGATAGTGTTTAGTTCACGACATCAACTCATCTGGGCCCCTGGCCCTTGACGCTGGCAGCTAGCTGTGCAAGTAAAGAAGCATTATGAAAACCGATTGAACATGGCGTGCTCCGAAACCTTAAACCCCAAACCCCTAAACCCGGCAAACACGAAGCCAAAGCTCCTGCGAGTACTGCTGAGACTCCTTGGGCTTGGCTTAGGGGCTGAGTCTTAACCTGCTCATTCTCGTAGGGCTAGACATACTTACTATCCTAAGCCCCTCAAAAACATTATGGTAGGGCTGTACAGCTATATACATACCACTATAGATCCCAAGAGGGTGATGGCGGTCATGGTTACGGTTGCCAGCCAGCCGTTAAAGCAATAAGAACGTAAGCACAAGCTACAAGGTCGGCCTTACAGAGCGTCTATGAATCCCTCATAGAACCCCTGATAGACTCCCATAGGAAAACCTCAAACAATCCCCATCCAAACCCCCATAACAGGTGCAGCTCCCACCTGGGGCTCAGGGTTGATTTCTTTTGAGTTTAGGCTTCAGAGACAAAGCCTTCCAACCCTGAGGGCTGTGCTGCCACTGCACGAAGGCCTCTGCGCCTGGGTGATGCGAGCCGCATTGGGGGCTCCGAGGGTATACAGTAGATAATACGGGGAAGTCTATGTAATTCAAGGAGCAAACATATCGACTGGAAGCCAGGGCTCGAGTTATGGCGTGATGCGCGTAGGCCAGGACATACATTTTTGGGTTGTTGCAGGTTCTTGTGCCGTGAGCCTGTGCCAGAGAGCATCTGCATGTGTCATCTTGAACCGATCGAGACCTACGAATTCTGCGCAGCATGGCCAAGGCAACGCATCGGCATGCAAGCTGCATAGCCTGCAACCTGGTATCTGAGTCCACTGAGGGCACAGCATCTGCACAAGACTTCGTCGACATCTATGGCCAGTATCCTGGCTTTCAACCCGGGCAACTCCAAAAGGTCACCAACGTCAGCTTCCAAACCGCATGTGTCAAGAACCGACACATCATCAAGCACATATATGTTTACACACATCTGACTGCATTCGACTGCATCCCTGGTGTTGAGGGCATGAGCGTCGAGTAATTGCATCTGAAACAAACGACCAGCGAATCCCGTGGCAGCGCTTTGCCGCCTTTACTCCATGAGCCGATACAGGGAAGCCGCATGTGTAGTGGGTCCTCTTCTCTGTCATCGCCCTTAGTACGGTTATTCGAGGGCTTTGGCTGGGCAATGCAATCTCTCTTTTTGGGGTCTAGGTTGAGACATTCTTGCTGGTGTTTAAGCAAGCTGGTTAAGGTAAACGAAGCGTGTCGGGCCACAATGTACAAAATCGCTGGCATCATGTTTCGGGGTCTGGATATCTGGAAGCGTCTCATATGCCTCCTTGGCCAGCCAAGTAAGCCCCTGCGATACAGAAAGAGCCTAGATGTTCCTGTGTTGTGCAATACAGCGAACATCAAATCCTTGGCCTGCCCGTTGCGTTTTTTCAAGTGACATCTTTTGTACGTACCATGAGCAATGTGCGCGAACGAATAGAAGCACGGTGACTGTCAAAAGGGCACTGTTCAGGTTTGCGGCCTGGTTAAAGGGTCGTTGTGTGGTAACGAACCACGAAAACCGCCAGGTGCTTCAAAAGCAAGGGAACCCAAAACCCTAAACCCCTAAACCCTAAACTATGCCCTAATTCAAGGCAAACCCGAGGTTACCGCACAGGCGCCTGAGCTGATGACACGCTGTTTTCTCTTCAAGCAGATGCACCATCTGGCCCGAAGCCCAACCACACTGATGAGTCACTCCTATCAGTGGGTTTGGGGTTAGGGTTTCTTTTGTTTTCTTGGTGTAGAGTTTTAGGGTTCTAAACAGCTTCGTGTTGTAACGTCCTCACGACCACTCTGTTGACATGAGTCTTCTGTTGCTACCCTTCAGCCCCTCCAGATTTCCAGGTAGTATACGATCCCAAGACTCGTTCCTCTCCGAGGCCTGTTTTGCCAAGCAACCCTCAAAGACCTAGCCGGTGAGTACACTGGCTCCGGTAGGCTTTGCCTTGCAAATATAGGACGGCTACATACCCCAGAATTATCAAAAAGGGGCTTGCCTTTTACACCCTAAACCCTAAACCTACATACTAGGACGACATCTTGCACTTGGATTTCCCAGGCAGTCGCCGAGATTTAAGGAGTTGGGTCGAGGCAGCGCCTGCGACAACCGGAACCAAATCAACGGTTTAGGGTTTAGGGTTTTAGGGTTTAGGGTTTTGGGGTTTAGGGTTTCGGGTTTAGGGTTTATAGGGTCTAATTATAATTTTGTCCACAGTCGGCAAACTCTTCACAAGTCTTCGGCTTCTTAACCGTTCTTATGTTCTTGACGAACCCTGTGTAGAGTCTACTCTCGGCATGCTTGCATCCAAGTACCTGTACCACAAGAGTAAGTCCTGAAGCCTCCAATGCTACGAAAGCTTCAACTCCTGCTTGATCCAAATCTGATACCCTTGTTTGTCATCGTGGTGGCGATAGAGTTCATGTCAAAGATGAACTGTTCGCTGTTGCCTTCTTGTTGCAATTGGTGGTCTTGATGATTGCGGTGGCGGTTGTCGTCGCCATCGCGTCTTCTTTGTGGGTGTTCAAGTCATTCTGATCCTCAGCAGCATAATGATAGACAAACTATCTTGTGGTGCTTCACAGTGCGATCGCTCGTGGTTCTTTGCGTGATAATACCTTGTGTCTGATGCCGTTGTTGCTGCTCCGGCTAAAGCTGTTGAGACTGCTGTATCTGTTTCATCGTCGGCGATTCATGATGATGCGGCAAGGCGACGACGACGACGACTGACGACTGCTGGTGACGGTATGGTCGTGTTGTAATGATTTGACCATCTGATGTCGTCTTCATATGTCTTCATCAGCAGTGTTGGGCCCCAGTCGGGAATGCCAGAAGTGGCCTAAACCCTACGGTGCAGCAGGTGGTAGCCAAGGGCTGACAGTTTGCAACATTAGGGGTGTTTGTACGAAGCGGCGCCGTTGTTCTCGCTATCGGGTCTAGGTAATCTTCACTTCGTGAGCCTTCCCTGCTACGGAGGTGTGCAATTAGTTCTGGAAAGATGCAAAAGACTCCTGCAAGCCCTTATCCACGTGGTAACCCAGGGTGTGATGTGCCCTGGGCTGGAGTCGGGACCTGTTGAAGGAGGACTTCGACTTCGAACTCGAAAAGCACTTAGCAGCGGAGTCTCGCAGCTTGAGGGCCCCTTACTTACACGGTTTCTCGTGGCCTCTGTATGGAAGAGTCCTGTGCTATGTTTACCCTTCCAGGCTCCGATGGTTTTCAGAAGCCCTGAACTTGCGGACCAGTGAGTCAATCTAGGACAGATCTCGAAGAGAAGGGGGGCTGAATTACATGCCCTCTGTCCTTTAGAACGCGCAGGCTGCCACCCAACAAGCATGTCCAAATATCTTTGGCACATGCACACTAAATCGCGTGTGCTGGCAAGCTCTTTTGCAGCAGGGCGCTTTGTCGAGTAGAATGCCAAGAAAGGCCCAAGAAAGGATTCTAGAGAACCAGGTCAGAGCCTGCATGTTCACTTCGCAGCAAAGACATCTTCCGCTAGTTGGTGTACGCAGCAGCAGTGGTAGTCGTAGAAGCAGAAGCAGCAGTAGAAGCAGAAGTAGCAGCGGTAGCGGCAATAGCAGTAGCAATAGCAGTAGCAATAGCAGTAGCAGTAGCAGCAGCAGAAGTAGTAGCGGTAGTAGC